CCACATGGGCTCTGGGGATCGGTTTTGGTGGCAGGCACCTTACCAGCTGAACCATCTCACAGGCCAACTGTTTTGAATAATAAAGATCACAGGTCTGGTAGAGATGCTCTGAATGGATCTGAGGTGAGTCCTTAATAAAGCCAACACTGGAAGAGGAGGAAGCTGGGAGAGGAGATCTGACCACAAGCTACCCGTAGAACAAGGAAACTCTCTGTATTTACAGACTTTAGAGGGTAGTGTTTTCTGAGTTTAGAAGTGTGGTGGAGAGCTAGCGAGATGGCTCAGCGGTTAAGAGCACTGATTGTTCTTCCAGAGGTCCTGAGTTCAATTCCCAGCAACCACATGGTGGCTCACAACCACCTATAAAATGAGATCTGGAACCCTCTTCTGGCCTGCAGGCAGAACATTGTGTACATAATAAATAAATAAATCTGGAAAAAGAAGCGTTGTGGAACATTCCTTTATACTGTGATTGGGTTAATAAAAAGCTAACCTGGCCGGGGCAGTGGTGGCACATGCCTTTAATTCCAGCACTCTGGAGGTGAGGCAAAGACAGGCTCTGTGGGTTTGAGGCCAGCCTGGTCTACAAAGCGAGTTCCAGGGAAGCTAGGGCTGATATACAGAGAAATCCTGCCTCGAAAAACAAAAAACAAACAAAAAAAGCTAACTGATCATTAGCTAGGCAGGAGGTATAGTGGGAACTTCTGGACAAAGAGAACTCTGGGAAGAAAGATGGAGTTGCCAGCCAGCCAGGGAAGAAATAGGGTGGGCAAATGGAGATGAGGTAACGAGCGTACAGAAGGACGTAGGTTTAAAAAAATATGGACTAATTTAAGTTATAAGAGTTAGTTAGAGTTCCAGGACAGGCTCCAAAGCCACAGAGAAACCCTGTCTCGAAAAACCAAAAAAAAAAAAAAAAAAAAGAGTTAGTTAGGAAAAAAAAAAGAGTTGTTAGGGGCGGTGGTGGCACACGCCTTTAATCCCAGCACTCGGGAGGCAGAGGCAGGCGGATCTCTGTGAGTTCGAGACCAGTCTGGTCTACAAGAACTAGTTCTAGGACAGGCTCCAAAGCTAAAGAGAAACCCTGTCTTGAAAAACCAAAAAAAAAAAAAAAAAAAAAAAAAAAAAAGTTAGTTAGAAACAAACCTAAGCTAAGCTAAGGCCAAGCTTTCATAATTAATAATAATAAGTAATAAGTCTCCATGTCATTCTTAGTGAGCTGGTTGCCCACTATGTAGAGGAGTTAGTATCTCTAAATTTAGCAGATTAGTGAAGGAAGTTTAGATGGGATATAAAACACCAATTTAGGGAGTTAATCCCATTGTCCCACCCGACTTGGAGGCTATGCACATGGGGAGTTTAACACATTAGGCTGTCCTGGAACTCACTCTGTAAACCAGGCTGGGATTAAAGGCGTGCCTCGAACTCACAGAGATCCACCTGCCTCTGCCTCCTGAGTGCTGGGATTAAAGGTGTGCTTCACCACTGCCTGGCAGTATTTTCTAAAATAACAAAAAGAAGAAAAACTATAAGAGATGCAAAGACCCACCCATAACCTAGCTGCTAGTTTGAAGTACCGTGTAGAGCGCATGGCCCTGCCCTAGAGGACGGACAACACAGTAGGTGATAACACACAGCATTATCACAAATGCAGCCTTTATGTGCTGTGCTGTGACCTTGCAATGGCTGTGACCTCATGGAGGTGAAAGGAATTTCCAATCCCGTTCTGGTCTTAAGGGATCATCGTGGAATATGCAGTTTATTACCAACATCAATAACCACTCAGTTTTTTAAAAAAAAAAGATTTTTTATTTTTAAGCTGTATATATGCGCTGTTGAAGAGGCACTCTGAAAGGCTGTACACTTGAAGTAAAAGATGAAGCTGTTACCAAGTGGTGCTGGCGCACACCTTTAATCCCAGCATTCAGGAGGCTGAGGAAGAAAAATCTCTGGGAGTTTGAGGCCAACCTGGACTACAGAGAGCGTTCCAGTATAGCCAAGGCTAAACAGAGAAACCCTGTCTTGGGGGAAAAAAATCGTGTCTGTGTCTGACATGTGAGACATGCCACAGCGAGCCTGCAGAAACCAGAGGACAAGTTTCGGGAGTTCGGTCTTGCTTCCCACCTGGCTGAGGCAGGTTCCTCCTTTTCATGGCTGCCAGGCTGCATACCCCAGCTTCCTTGTTGTCCCGTCTCTGCTGCTCATCTCATTGTAGGAGTGCTGGGTTTACACCACTGAATCTCTGCATCTGGCTTTTACGTGGATTCCAGAGATATGTCAAGCTTGCGAAGCTAGCACTTTCTCCCTATCCCCCTTCTTTCTTTCCTTTCTGAGATTGGGTATCCTTACGTAGCCCAGGCTTGCCGTAAACTCATAGCAATCCCGACTATCGGGATTTAGGTCTGCACCATACACCAGGCTTACATTTCTTTTTCTTTTCCTATAGGTGCTGTTGCTGTTGCAAAATCATCCTCTCTGTGGTGGTTTACAAGTAACTAACACCTGTCTTGAACTTCTGCCAAGTGAGAGGGTGACTAATATTTTAGTACTGTTCTCTAATTGAAATGGTAGTAGGCTCAAGGAAACACACACCAGTTTTCTCACCAGACACATGGGCCTAAAACTGTACCTTTATGAAGAAGTGAGTATATATTTATAGATCACATATATGGCATATGATGCATACACACACACACACACACTCGTAGGAACAAGGTAAGAAACACATAGACTAAAGACAAAGAGTGTTGGATGTAAGGACACACATCTATAATCCCAGGATTTGGGGAGGCTAAAAGGCAAAACAATGTGAAATTTCAGGCCAGCCTGAGCTACTTACTTAGTGAGACTATCTTTTGGTGGGGATGAATTACTGACCAAAGGCTCTCATGTAGCCCAGTCTGGCCTGGGATTCATTATGAATCAGAAGGTGAGCTTGAATCTATTTCCATCTCCCAAGTGCTGGAATAACAGGCATGTGTCATCATGCCCAGCTCATGGTTCCGTCTTTAAAACAAACTGGTCAGAAGCCAGGTGTGGTCATGCACACCTTTAAGCCTAGCACTTGGGAGGCAGAAACAGGTGGATCTCTGAGTTCAAGGGCAGCCTGTTCTAGGTAGGGAGATCCAGGACAGCCAGAGCTACATAGTGAGACTCTGTCTCCCCCCCCCCCCCAAAATGCTAAATAGAATACAGAAATTTTTTTGAGGCAGGATTTTCTTGTTAAGTAGCACTGGCTAGCCTTGAACAGGCCATCCTCCTGCCTTGTCCCTCTGAATGCTTGAATTACAGGCATTCAATTCTATGCTGTTAACATAGAATCTGTGTGCACTTTAAGTTAGTGATTTTGTAGAGTTAGGATTGAAAGTAAAAGGGTAGTACCTCTCAAAATCCTTCCTGACCTTTGCTCGCCCAAATGACATCATTGGACAGACTTCCCTTCAAACCTCAGGGGAGGGGTTTATTTGTTGTTCTTGATGAACCTGGCTTTATCAGGCACGAGCCAGGTTTTACAAATCAGTTGTGCTGGCCTAGGGCGTGACAAAAAGAATAATAATAAATCAATAAAGGTGAATTGAAACAGGTCAAGGTCAACCCTTGCCTTCTTGTTGAAAGAACAACTGTGGAGAACACCCTCTTCTGTCTTCTTTGCAAGTGCTGAAGAGTCTGCAGAGGCAACAAGCCAGGCCTTACCCAGGGAAGGGACAGATAATTGATTCACCTGACAAAAAGCACAGAGACTGCGAACTCAGGAGACAACTAACCCAGACTAGAGGGTCAGAAAAAGCTTCCCGAGGGAAATGAAATTGAGTTTGGGAAGCATGTATGGGAATAATGATTAGCCCAATGAGAGGAAGAAGGTCAGGAGTAGTTTATCTGTGGAAACCCCAGCCAGAGGGAGCAGTCTTTGGCCATCTTGGAATTTATCAAAGAGGGGGAAATACTGCTAATGAGATAGATATTTCTTTGTTCATTTGTTTTCAAGACAGGGTTTCTCTTGTGTAGCCCTGGCTGTCCTGGAGCTCACTCTGTAGTCCAGGCTGGCCTGGGTCTTTGAACTCAAGAGATCTACCTCCCTCTACTTCCTAAATGCTGGGATTAAAGACCTGTGCCACCACTGCCTGGGGAGATAGAGATTTCTTGAGATTATTCTGTGGGCAGTACTGAGAAGCCATCCGAGATTTTATTATTTTATTTTATTTTTCAAGACAAGGTTTCTTTGTGTAACAGCCCTAGCTGTCCTGGAACTAGCTCTTATAGACCAGGCTGGCCTCGAACTCACCAAGATCCGAGTGCTGGGATTAAAGGACTGCGCCACCACCGCCCAGCAAGATTGTATATTTCAAATGCAATTATATGGCATTCAAAAACAAAAACCACCTCAAACGTTCAAAGGGTGGGGTGGGAGCAATGATGAATGCGGGGAAACAGAAGTGTTGGGATAGCTCAGATTAGGGTGGTGGGATGGGGAAGAAACAGAACAATCGGAGAATCTCTTGGCTGCGTGATGCTGGGAGGATAAAAAAAGATTGGAAAGTAGGGTGTGCCATTAATGAGTGTGGACTTTATTCTTAAAGAGTAAAGGAGAAGCTATTTTTTTCAGTAGCTAAGGAGCCAGTCCTCGAACTTCCTCTGGTAAACCAAGCTAGCCTTGAACTCACAGAGATCCGCTTGCCTCTGCCCCCGGGGTGCTGGGATTAAAGGCGTGCGCCTCCAGGAGAAGCCCGGCAGGAGAAGCTATTTAAACACCTCAGCTACCTGCCTAATCCATTGAGCTGCGGGCATAGAAACGTCACCTGGCAGGCTGGGGGAAGAGTCTCTGAGGACGCCGCGCAGGTGAGGGAGCAACCTCCCGCCGCGGGGCGCAGACGGGATGCCAAAGGGACGCCGGAGGAGCCGGAGCCGAGCAGGTACCCAGTCAGGACCTTAAACTCACAGCCCCGCTGGGGGCGGGGCGCACGGAGCCCGGGGCGGGGCCGGAGCACGCACGGCGGCGTGACGTAGGCCCGGCTGGCCTCGTTCTGGCTGCTGCCGCCGCGCTGAGGCGGAGTAGGATGAGGCCCCGGGCCGCGGCTCCAGCGTCGGCAGGGGCAACAGCAGCTGAGGCAGCAGCTGAGGCAGCCGCGACTGCCGCGCCCCCCGCTCCTGACCTGGATTAGGCCCAGCAGCCCCGTGGCCGCCGCCGCCCCGCGGGGGGCGGGGTGGGGGAAGCGCTCGGTCTCCCCGCCCCCGCCCCCCTCAGGCTCCCGGCGCGACCCCTGCGCAGCCCGCGGCCTAGCCTCGCGCCCCCTGCCCCGGGGGCTGGCATGAGCGGCCCCTCGGCGGCGCCGGGGCGCGGGGGAGTCGCTGCCTGAGCCCCCGGGCCTGCCGCCTCGGACCCCGCGGCGCCTAGCTCGCTGGCCGCTGAGTGTGCGAGAGACCGGGTCCCAGCTTTCTTCCTCCCCCAGATCGCACGCACACACCCCAGCCCCGGAAGATGGGGAACTGCCTCAAATCCCCGACCTCGGATGACATCTCCCTGCTTCACGAGTCTCAGTCCGACCGGGCTAGCTTTGGCGAGGGGACGGAGCCAGATCAGGAGCCGCCGCCGCCATATCAGGTAGGGGAGGGTGTATGTCGCGGCGGGAGGGGAGGCGGCTCAGGCCCTCTGCCCTTGGCCTCCGCGGCCTAGCCTGGGGGGGGGGCACTGACCCCTTCAGGGCTGGCCTTGGGTGTCTGCTGCCCAGTCCTCGGACCGACAGCGAGCGGTCTCGCCTTCCCCTTGGGCACTGTTTGGGGACGGTGTTCTGTCCTTGAGTTCAGGAATCGCGTCTGTAATCATATCCCCCTTGGCCGGTGTCTGGTAGTTAGCTTCTGGAGTTAAGGATGACATGGTTTTCCTGCCTTTATGTCTGAGTTGTGTGATTTCCTCAAGAGACTGCCAAAAGGATTATGGGTTGTGGGTAGGTTGTCACCCCCCCCCCTTTATATTTGTGTCTTCTGTGTAATCCTCCCCTCTCCCACCCTATCTGTCTTTGAGAATTGGTTCTGGTAGGACGTCTTTTTACCATCTACTTGAGAGGTAGAATTTCAAGTGGGGATTTTAGCCTTCGCTTCATGAAGAGTTACTTGTTTATATATACATATGTGGTAATTTTTAAGCCCCTCCTCTTTTGCTCCACCCCTGTGACACACCTTTTAAGTAAGTTGACTTAATAAAACCTTGATTATCTTGAACATTAGAGACCTTTCAGCACGACTTGGAAAACGCCATCTGTTACTTAAGGCCTTCTCTTTGATAAAGACTCTTGAATGGGTCTTTCTAAATGATACTCAGTAAACTCCCAGGTGGGCTTGAATGCAATTCTTCAGTATTTTCCTGAAGAGAGGCCAGTTTTCTAACTGGGTAGTCGCCTTTTGATTTTATGTGGTGACATCATTAGTTTTCTTTTCTCAATTCTGTGTAAAGCAGTTTCTCATCATGTGGGGGGAAAAGGATCATATATGCTGATTTCCTGACCCCCTTTAGGGCTTTTTGGTTAGTCCGGTCTTCATTGTAGCCTCGCAGAAGCCTCTGTATTTCAGGCTTACCAAACCAGGCTGTCGACAATTTTGTCTTCACACCAGGTGATCTTTCTGCTAGGATCCTTTTCCCCAAGGTTGCTCAGGTGAACATCTAATCCTCTTTAAGGACTCAGCTCAGTATCTGAAGTCCTGACATTCCCCTCCTTCCTCCCTAGATTTCCTGGATATGTCTCCCACGAACCTTCTGCACTTATAGAAGCAATACCGTGCCTATAATAATTTAGTATCTTTGTTTAGGTAATGTTGTCTCATCCTTGAAATATGTGTTCCCCTCCCCTTGTATAAGCTGAGTTTGAGACATTTCCAGGTGCTTTTTTATACCCCAGCATCAGATTCATTGTAGATACTCCAATGAGATAAATGCAGAATAAAAGCTCCATTCTCAATGTTTCATGCAATTTCTGTCACATAAAAATGCAATATTTATTATATTTATGTACCCTGTTTCTCCCAGCTTGTTTAAGTTGCTCCAGGAGCAGACTCTATTTTATCAGTAGCAGGAATTGAACTGAGAGCCCTGTACATGCTAGCAAAGCACTACTACAGAGCTATGACTCCAGTCTCCCCGCCCCCTTTTTAAAAGTTTTATTGTCAGTGTCTCACAGAATCACCCAGATAGGTCTTGAACTTTGTCCTACTGCCTCAGCCTCTAGAATTGCTGAAATTACAGGCGTATAACCACCAGACCTCTCTTTCACGTATCTGTCCATAACTTGCTGTTTCTCCCTCTACGATAGCTACTCAACAGATATATTTATTTAGGTGTCATAAGCAAACTTCCCCCCAAAGTCTATACTTCTTAGCTTCTTTCTAGGAAAATTGAAATCTGACTTGTTCGTTTCTCTGTTACCACTACCATAATTTTAGAGTTTATGGGAACTATATTTTTGTCCTTTCCAAAGGGACAAAAACAATACTTTTTTTTTTTTGGAATGTGTTATTTTTGACTGGAAATTATTGTGGTCGCCTTTTCCTGAAGTGAATGACCCAGCAGATACTGATCTGCAAAGTTAGTATGAATCGGAAGAAAATGATTACCTTAAAAGGTGAGAACATAAAATTTTTAGTCTGACATGGTAGCTCATGCCTGTCATCCTAGTACTTGGAAGGAGGGCTGAGGCGGGAGGATTGCTGACAGTCAGCTCTACATAGTGAGTTCTATTTGAGGTCAGCAATACATGGTGCATTCTATGCTGGTCTGGGCTAAAGAATGAGACCCTTTCTCTAGGTTAAAATTCTTTTAAAATAAAGCTGTAGAAATAATCCCCTTGAAGTCTTACGAATACTTGTTTTTACATGATTTGGGAAAGTAGCAGTCCAAAGTAAATTATTTATATCTGGACTTTTTAAAATAATAGTACATTATTAACATAATAGCTACAGTGATGTTAACTTTTTTACAGAATAGCTTCAGACTGGCCATGGTGGCATACATCTTTAAATCCCAGCAGCAGGGAGTCAGAGCTGGGGCAGAAGTGGTGAATCTTGAGTTCCAGGCCAACCTGATTGACTATCAAGTTCCAGGCCAGCCAGGGATAAATAGTGGGACCTTGTCTCAAAAAAAAGAAAAAGAAAAAACAAAGAATAGACTCAGTTGCAATAGGTCTTTAAGTGGGAAATACCTGATTATAACATTTAAAGAGCATATGTTTGTTCTTCTGTGACAAGTACTTAAAACATAGTTTTTTTTATTAAGGTTGTACAGTATACAGGTATGTCAAGGTAACAAGGTAACAGTAACTGACAGACTTTATTTGAGCTTGACATTCTGGGTTGCATGTGTAGCTTAGTGGTAGAAATGTGCTTAGTATGTGAGACCCTGGGTTTTATATGTGCACCAAACAAACGAAGCATAGTTCAAAATAAAACAAATTATGCACCATTATGACCAGCATTTGCATGGAGCCCTTGTTTCTTGGGTGTTTGTTTCTCAATTTTTTTTTGTTGCTGATTTCGTTTTGTATTTTTATTTCTCTTGTATTTTGAGACAAGGTGTCACTCTGAGACTTAAGCTCCTGACTCAGCCTCCTCAGTGATTGCAGGGGTGAGCATCATACCAGATTCTGTAACCTATCTAGTTCTGGTTTCACCCTCTCTCTATACCGTGTTCTCAACCTAGCAGCTAGGGTAATGGGATCACAGTACTCTACTAAACTCTTTAATGGATCCATATTTGATTTTAGAAAAATTTCCTAAGTCCTAGTCCAGCTCTTCCCCTGGCCTTCTGACTGTACTAAGATAGTCTAGGTCTCAGACCTTTGTCCTGTTTGTTCTCTGACTGGATAACTCCCTAGGTTTCACCGTGAATGCATGACTGATTCCCTGGCCATTTTTTGTTTTTGGTAGTGAGGGAAATTTTGGATGAGGGACTGCACTGGAGATCAAACACAGGGTCTTAGACATGCTAGGCCAATACTGTACTACATTCCTGAACTTTAAAAGGCAGGGTCTCGTGTAGCCTAGGCTGGCTCACAACTGACAACTGACACAAGGATCATCTTTAAACGCCTGATAATCAAATGCAAGCCAGTAACACCTGTAATCTCAAAAGATTAGGAGTTCAGGGTCAGCCTAGGCTGTCTGAGGTTTGTTTGTTTTTTTAATATTTATTTATTATATATACAGTTTTCTGTCTACACGCATGCCTGCAGGCAGAAGAAGCCACCAGACCTCATTACAGATGGTTGTGAGTCACCATGTGGTTGCTGGGAACTGAATTTAGGACCTTTGGAAGAACAGGCAACGCTCTTAACCACTGAGCCATCTCTCCAGCCCCATCTGAGATTTTTGTCTCCAGGAAAAAATAAGCATAACTAAAAAGCCAAATGCCATTAATAGTAAATATAAGAATTGGTTTAAAAGTTATTGATTAAAATAATTTCACTTTTTTTTGCCTTACATAATTATTGGCTGCCACAATAAAGTATGCATTTTATGGGAGAATGCTTGAAATCTCTATCCAGAGTGTTAAGGATTACATTCTGTTCAGGAGCTTAGTGAATATATGTAGATTGGTGTGTCTCAATTTTACAGTATTTATAGATTATCCTGACTTGTTGGTTTCATCTCAACAGATTCATGGTGTATTAAAAGTAATACATGATAGTCTATACTTTGAATTTTTATTTTTTTCCTATACTGGTATAGAGATTTTTGATTTTTGTTTGTTCTGAGACAAGGTCTTTATATGTAGTCCAAGCTTGCTCAGAATAAACTATATAGTCTTAGCTGACCTTGACTTCCTTCGGCAGCTTCCCAAGTGCTGGGATTACAAGCTTGCATCACCAGACCCTTCTTTGTTACTTTTTAATGCTAGGCAACAAACAGTCTTCAGCTCTCCTTTAGCCAGGGTATCACAAGGATACTTTTGAACTCTACTATATTACTAAGCTATGTTGTTGGTAGGGGAAGATAACACTAAATGAATTTTTAACCTAAGGATGTTTTTGACTTACTGTGGCTTTATCAGGGTTAACTCCACTATAAATCAAGGAATATCTTTAGTTTGAAATGGATTGTTTGGGAGACAGGGTGTGCAATTCTGACTGGTCTTGAACTTCATTCAGTTTGCCCCCCCCCCCCCCCCCCCCCCCCCCCCCCCGCTAGTATCTCAGGTGGTTGTGTATATGGAGGCTAGATGACAACCAACCTTAACTGTTATTGCTCGGATGCTGTTGCCTAGATTTTTTTGATGTAAGATCTCACTGGTTTGTTGCAGGGTTGGCTGGCTAGGGAGCCCGGGGGATCCACTATCTACAGCTTCCCAGCTCTACAAAAGTCTTTTTTACGTAGATTTTGGAGACCAAAGTCAGGTCGTCCTGCTTATCGCAAGCACTTTGCCATCTTTCCTTTTCGTTTTAGATTCACATGGACCTGTTTTCAAATTCTGACTGTAGTGCTTACATGTAAAATGGCAAGGGGGGGCTACTTTCACAAACAGGAAAACATTTGTTTTGCATATTTTAAATTATGATTGAATAATGCTTCTCTGTGTTATGTATATGGTCATTTGCATGTGCGAATATACATGGAGGC